GTTACAATATCATTTTCTTATTACATATTATACTTCATGCATGTCCTAATGTTTTTTACTTGAACAACAGGCATTTTAATCAAATCTGTCGAAACGGAGGATTTGAAAGAACATATGGCTTTATGTGTCCTCAAAGGATACAGAAAGAATTTAATACTGTGGAAGCAAGGTCAATCTACATTATGACCGCAATGAGTCAGACCAAAAAGCTAATATATTTTGCACCTTACGTGGAAGGGTAAGTGTATTATTGTATTTGAGATATACAAGTTGTATGTGTCGGGTTATAATTAACATAGTTTGCCTTTTGCAGTTATCATTGGACTCTAATTGTTTGTGCCCCTTTTGACAACAAAGTTTACTGGTTCGATTCACTCTGTGGAAGTCCATCCGAAGAAACCAAAGATGTCATCGACACGTTAGTTTTTATTTATATATTTATTACTTGTGAAGTTTATACAAGCATGCTCTAATATCATTTTCTCTTATAATGTTGATAGGGCTTTTCATACTTTTAATGTCGTGGCGATTAAACAAAATAGACAAGCACCAACATGGATTCTTCCACAGGTATATGTTGTTTTGAACTAACTTTTAAACATTTTTGGATGAATTAAAGTTAATGTTTATAATCAATAATGTCTAATATTCAATTTTATATCTTATTTTTTTAGTACCGTTGTCAACAAGGACATGTTGAGTGTGGATATTATGTCATCCGCTACATGAATGACATAATTGAGACAGGAACGACTGAGAAATTAGACGAGGTATGTTGCATGACGTTCTTCAATTTATTTCACATTTTTGACTAAGTTTACTATGTTATTTTTTATTAACAGATATTTTAAAATACTGCGCCATATCTCATGGATGACATCAACTTGATGAGGGACACTTTGTCAACAACATTGGTAGAAAAAATTGAAATTTAGCTTTCAAATAGATAGGTTATTTCTCAAAAAAATTCATTGTTAGATGCTTTCTCTCGGTTCCCTCTTATATTGTTCATGATTTCCATTGTACAGAAAAGTAGTTACTTCTATTTCAGAATTGTTGGACCTAGCCAATACGTGTTCCTTGGTAACCACTTAGTTCTATTATATTGGCCGGTTTCCCTATTTTCGAATTGTGTAAAAAAAAATTTCATTGCTGTATATTAACTAGCTAATTGATCTTGTTCTGCGTGATCTACACTGCCTACATTTGTTTGGAACTGTAAACTGCACGGTGGTAAACACGAAAATAAAGTAGAATTTAAAAAAAAAGCATTTTTAATGGCGGTTATACATATAACCGCCGTTAAAATCCTTTTCCACGGCGTTTTATTTATAAACCGCTGTGGAAAGTAAAATTTCCACGGCGGTTTTGTATTTAACCGCCGTGGAGAATGGACTTTCCACGGAGGTTAAATATAAAACCACCGTGGAAAGTCCACTTTTCACGGTGGTTAAAAACCGCCGTGTTTTCCTTACCTTTCAACGTCGCCTTTAACAACTTCGCTTTCAAAACCGCCGTTAAAAGCCACTTTTAACCGTCGTTAAAAGCCTTTTTTCTGGTAGTGTACAATGGACAGATGTAGGGGAGATATGGGAATTCCATTAGGGTTGATGTGTTTGTTCCAAGCATCCAGTGGCTGAATGCTACAAACTTTGCATCGGCGGAGTTCTCTTCTCTGGTTTAATTTGTAAGATGACAATGTGCTATAGTGGAACACGAGGAAACGAGCTCTAACACATGTAATAACATATTTCTAAGAGTTTCTTGGAAGAGCAAACATTTGTTTGTTTTTTAAGAAAAAATCTAGGAAATTGAAGTTGTAGTATGATGAATAGATCGGAAGTGTCACAATCATATATGTGTGAGGATTAGAGATGGCATTTGGTTTGTCATTCACAAAACATGAAGATGTAAGAGGAGGACAGGTATAATAGGTGGGTGGTTTTGTTTGCATGGTCGTTCGCAATTTGAATTTGGTTTTTTTGAGTAATTACAATGGTGATTTTTTTTTTGTTTCTTGCTTTTAGAGATGCTCTCCATCTTGCTTAATTCCATATCTGAAAGTTTTTTTTTGCCTTTACACAAATTTATTGTGAGATTTCCTACTCTTTATTATCATTGTCAAACTCGATCCCTATCTCCCCAACTTCTCCACTCTGTCTACTGAAGGAGGCTCGATTTCAATATTTCAAGAAGAAGCTTGACTCCTTCTACTCAAGCTTTTGCTTCCTGAAAATGCTTGTTTTTCCCTCTTCTCCCTCCTGGAGGTTGCTCTTTGCCTCTTTGGCAACTTCAGAATCTTCTCTTTTTTCAATTTTCAGTCCATGTGAACAGTTTAAGGTATACTAGATCATGGTCTAGTCAGCACTCACTCACACCTTTAGCTCTGAATTTAACGGAAAGGATTAACACCTAATAAGAGAAGAAATTACAAGGACTCAATTAAAAAAAACTGTAAGAACCTAATTAAAAGTTGACTAAAATTATAAGGACTAGAAAATTAGTTTTCTAAATATATGTGCATATAAAAATGATAGAACCGGGTCGCGCGCCCATCGAACTACAGAATTCCACATGAGAGTATTATAGCCTTTCATTAACTTATGTTATTTAAAGTTTTCCTTGTATTGCAAACTTTCCATTATTTTTTTTTTCAATTGGCATTCAAGTTATGTTTTCGTTCAAATTTAACTATTTAGACTACGATTTACTCAAAATTTTCATTTGCAGTGTTGTTCGATATTGATAATTGAATTAATTAAAATGTATACTTCTGAGTATACGTTTATATAAAAAATGACAACTAACAAGAGCACAGAAGCAGAAAACAGGTAAAAGAAGAAGGTAGAACTTGCGGCTGAGTCTGCGATCGTGAAGGAAATGACAACTCGTGAGTCAGATTGAAGAATAAAACAGCGAATGAAGGATTTTGGTGACTTTCGACCTTGGCAGAAAAGAAAACTCCAGCGACGATGCAGTGAAGATTGATGAATGATGATTAAAGTCTGTAGATGAGAGGCTGCCTCCTAGGATTTCAGATTTGGGGGAGGGAAAGAGAACAAGGTGAATGGCTGAACATGACAGAGTGCAAAGACATTGTCCTTCCCTTCAATTCAATTATATTTAGTCAATTTTTTTCTAAATATAAAGACGTCATTTTTTGAAAGTGAAAGATTAAAAATATTAAGCCAAGTAACTCATCTCGACTATTAGGTTACTCGGTTTTTACCGGTTTGATCCTTAGTCAGTTTTTGTCCTAAACTATACTAGACGATAGATCAGTTCAGTAGTTTTTTTGTTAGTTGAATAGGTTAGTTTAGAAGCACCTATTTGCAAGGAAGAAGATGGCTCATCTTTGATGGGAGCAATTGTGGCCTCAACCAACCGAAAAATTGTTGTGCCGTAAAGTTGTCAACAAGGACCAGCTTAGTCCTTTAAAACACATATACCTTAAAATTATTGAATTATTAAAGCCCAGTCCTTGGACATGCAGGCTCAGAGCTTAAAAGGGCTAGCCCTTTTATGTTAATTTTTAAAATTTAAATTTTTTTAATTATTTTAAAATTAAAAATAAATCTACAAAACTTAGTAAATGCCAATAAACTATTATCCAAAATAAAAAAAATCAAAATCTAATGAAACAGGAAAAGCAAAAAGATAAAAACCTAGCAATTAAAGATTAACAACATCAATATAATTATTATCTTTATCTTCGTTTTCATTAGTATCATTAAGATCAGCAATATTTGATTATGTTCTTCACTACAAGTGAGCTGTTATTCAGTGATAACAATATTAAGGTTTTTGTCTTCATTTCTCTTATTTAAAATAAAACTATGCAACAGTTATGAATATAAATGAGAGTCTAAACATTTATTCAAATAAGTAAATTTTTACGTCTTGTTAAGACATGTAAATTGATAGTAAATGAAGATTTACTAGTTATTGTAGTGATTATAATGCTAAAAATATCAATTGTCATTCTTGAAAGAATTGAAAATTGATTTTAATTGTTCTTCCACCAGTCCATGACATCTAATTCTCTTCAATTATATGGCTTGAGTATTGGTTCTTCTAAATATTTTTTTAATTCAAACTTGTTCATAAAAGACTAATCCATAATTTTATAAATATATTGATAATAATAAAAATAGGCGGGCTTAAAAAGGTTGTCCCTTCTATTTCTGAGCCCTATAAGACTAACCCTTTTAAGCCTAATTTTTTTTGAATCACTTAAAATACAAACTCGGCCTTTTACTTAAAAGGGTTGGTCCAGTGGGATTGACCTGTTTTGATAGCTATGTTGTGCCGTAAGTTGAATTGTGAACTTCAGTGAAACCATGGTTTTGCGGATTAGAATAGCTTGGAATTTTTTGGATATTTAGGTCATATGTCCGAGAAAGTCTTTTTCTTGTTGGCAAAAAAACAAAGAGTATTTTTCTTAGCCAGTTCAGTCTCTTTGTACTTTTTTTTTGTCAAAAAAAGTCTTTTTATTTTTTTAAGGTTTGAGAGCCGGTTTGGAATAGTGTTCATAAACACTTATATACATATTTTACATTAGTCAAGAACAAACTCTTCACATACTTACTTTATATTTTGTAAATCATCGTTAAAAAACTATGTGTAAATTATTCTAAATGATGACTAAGGGGGTGTTTGGATATGAGAAGCACTTTTCCGCAAATCAAGATAAACTCCTTCACATATTTATCTCGTAAACTGTAAAATTATTTCTGAAACCATGATTTAGTTTCCATCCAAATACTCGACTGAGTTTTTGACAAAAAAAAGTTAGACCGAGTTAGAATGACCTCAACCTGGCGGTATTGGAAGTGAGAAGCCATAACGACGTCGTTTTTATCTGGAGGACGCGCTGCATGGGACTTTGCACTTGCAGGGTAGAGTCTGAACTTGGATTTTAGCCTAATCCCGGTCCCCCGCCACTCGTCTTCGTTACTCTCTCGTTTCCCCTCCAGAAAACCACCCCCCCCCCCCCGGGGTCACGGAGCTTAAACAAGGCCCTCTATAGCCTCTGTCTGCTTACTGTGCCACAAAAACGCCCACCTTCATAACGGCTTCTTGCATAAGCGACTGTGGAAGAAAGCTGGGGAGAGTGGTGGAGTTGATTGCCATGGGGTTTTCGACCCAGAAGCCCACCACCACCACTTTGCGGCCCTTTTGCCCCTCCTCTTTCTGGACTTCGCGCTCTTGTCGTTCCTTTCGCGTCGCTTCTTCTTCTTGGCCTCTCATGGCTCCCTCCGAAGCTCACTATGGCAGGTTCACTTCTGCTGTTCTTTTTTTACGTTCTCTGCAAGTTTTTACCTCTTGGCGCATGGGTTACTGTTTTTCACTGCAGATTTTTGAAATTTAATTCAATATCCTTACGTTTTAGGGAGGGCATAAGTGTTTTCAGGGAAACATGGCCTTGTCATGGTAAATGTAATGGTCAATTTTTTTTTTTTGGTGAATTCACTCTATCTATTTATAAGTGCAGTTGTCATTGTTTTGTTGGTAATGCACTTTTCCTAGATGTTTCCCAAAAAAGGTAGTTGGTAGCACATTGTCGGAGCTGAACGTTGACGTTTTGTTTTTCGGTGCACATTTTCGAAATTCGTTAGATAATCCAAAGTTTTAGACGAATGTTTTGGCGAAAGCCCATACTAACCAAATGGTCAGTTCGTTTGGCCTATTTGTTTATATTATTCAATGACCTCTTTGTGCATTCAAAATTTTTGTAACGCATTTGTTGTTGTTTGTGGGGGTGGGGAGGGGGCTTTGAATTTTGAGAAGTTAGTGTAGTAGCATATGTAATAAGTCAATGGTGTCATCTCGAGGACTTTTTCTGGCTAGCTTAAAATCTTGTTTGGCCTAAGGTGATTATAAACGTCTTGCTTCTTCTTCTGTGGGTTAAATTGATATTTAAATTCATTATTGTGTCTAAGTGGTTGCGACTTTTATTTTCTTTGCATGATATGAACAGCAGAAGAAAAATCCTCTCCGTTCAGGTAGTCAACAATGGCTGGCTGAATAGCACTGTGTCTTGTAATTCTCTTCAATTTAGAGAAGGTTCCTTACAATTTCTATCAAGAATAGTTATTGGGATGAATAAACACAATGATATGGAATATAACCGTCATCTGTATAAGACTCCAATTCATGGTTCATTCATGAAGTTTTCGACTGCATCGACTGGCATGTTGAAGGAAGTGACAGATGAAGAAGAGCTCAATTCTTCACATTATTCTGAAGCAAAAGTTCAGACTGTAAGTATTTTTGCTCATGACTGTGCAACATCCAATATTGCTGCTAAAGGTGAACTGTTTGGTGATAGAAGAGGCTGGGTGCGAGCTAGAGATAATTTGACTGTAACTAAAATGCAAAATAAGTTTGGGTGCAATAATGGCAGCACTTATGCATCTAAAATATGTATTTCCAATGGCCAGGAGCAGGTTCTTTCTAAGGACGGAGGGCCCCGTCCTCTTTTACTGAAGGACCATGAGGTACCTATCTCATCCCCTGTGGCCAGCCATTCTAAATCGAAAAATACAAAGGTACTGATGGACTCTAAAAGGGCAGGCGAGTCAATTGAATGCCATTTGGTAATCAATAAAGATGAAACTTCTGATATAAATGAGAATCACAATTTGGAGGCATCTACCAAGCATGCTGACATTGCATTAATGTCCAAAACAAAATATGTTACTGGTGATTCAAAGCTTCGCGCCAGGCTCTGTGGCATTTATAATGATATATTGGTCGTTGATAATATTTCTCTAGCTAAGGGAGTTGTTGGAATGCTTACAAAAAAGTACAGGCATCTTGTTCATGCATGTGATACTGAGGTATAAAGTCTTTCTAAGCATGCTAATTTATGTTGTGGTTTTCATTGGTACAACATTTTCTATAGCTTTGTTATTTATTTTCTTTTACTTTGGGCTTGAATTTGACCCGTTTGACCATTTCAGCTTGTGTATAATATAAAATCTTTCTTTCTTAAAATTCTTTTCTTCTTCTATGCTTTTATTAACATTATGGTCAAATGTTCTGAGATGAGGCAATAAGAGGCCTTTGTGCCTATTGCCATTTCTAAGCGTGATTCCATGGCGTCAAAAGTGATTTTTCATACATCTTTTGACTATTTTTGTTTTGCAAATTGTGGACATATAATATGTGCTGGTGAAAACATCTTTAAAGGTGGCCAAGATTGATGTCAAAGAGGAAACACCTGTTGATCATGGGGAGATAGTATGTTTCAGTGTTTATTCTGGTCCAGAAGCTGATTTTGGAAATGGGAAATCCTGTATTTGGGTGGATGTTCTTGATGGTGGAGGCAAAGAGATGTTATTTGAATTTGAACCGTTTTTCAAAGACCAATCCATCAAAAAGGTGAATTTTCCTGCTTAGCATCCTATTTTTGTTTGTTCTTGTTAAATTTTAATGTTTAGCTGCTTATATGAAATTAATGGTAAATATTCTAGATTGGGGGGAGGATATTAAAAGAGATACACCTGAAAAAATAACTCTTGAGCTAATGGTAGCGCATTACTCGCAGTCTTTCATGTGAGTTGGAAAATTAATTTGAAATAACAAAGCCACCCGTATCTTCTCCAGGTCTGGCATAACTATAGCTTTGATAATCATGTTATAGAGAACTATGGGCTTAAAGTTTCTGGTTTTCATGCTGATACAATGCACATGGCACGATTATGGAATTCATCAAGACGCTTGGATGGTGGTTATTCTCTTGAAGCACTTACAAGTGATAAAAGGGTTATGTGTGGGGCTCATTTGAACCATGAAAAGGATTTGATTGGTAAAGTGTCGATGAAAACTATATTTGGGCGGAAAAAGGTGAAAAAAGATGGATCTGAGGGTAAAATGATTACTATTCCTCCTGTTGAAGAGCTACAAAGAGATGAACGAATACCTTGGATATGTTATTCTGCCTTAGATGCTAGGAGCACTTTGAAGCTTTATGAAAGCCTTAAGAGCCATCTCTCAAAAATGCTGTGGAAAGTTGATGGAATACAGATGATGGGACTGGTGTCTGCAAAAACCATGTATGATTTCTATGAAGAATATTGGCGGCCATTTGGTGAACTTCTAGTCCAAATGGAATCTGAAGGGATGCTAGTTGACCGTGCATATCTTGCTGAGATAGAGAAAGTGGCCAAGGCAGAGCAAGAGGTAGCTGTTAACAGGTTCCGGAAATGGGCGTCTAGGTATTGTCCTGATGCAAAGTATATGAATGTGGGAAGTGATGCTCAGTTGCGCCAGCTGCTATTTGGTGGCATGGTGAACAGGTGCGCATCTATTTATTCTTCTCTGCTTCTTTTGATTCTTCCTTATTTTGTAAAATGAAGACTTAAATTTGTTTACATATAACCTATATTCAATATACAGAAGACATGTCTCTATTATGATGCTATTGTCATAAAATACGAGGTCCACTATTTATTAGATGCATACAAATATCTAAGCTAAGTTCGTCTCTAGTTTGAAAGCCTCTGTTATTGCAAATAGGCTTTTTTATTATTATTACAATTGTTTGCTACAGTAATCGTTTTCTTGAAAATTTTAATTTGGATTCTAAATGCTTTCAAGTGTAGAATATATTTCTTCACTGGAATTAATTTGACTTAATAGATTAACCGGACACCAAATCTCTGTGAATTATGATTTAGAGTCTGGACTTGTTCATCCGAAATGGTACTCATTGCATTAGTTTGCAGGGCCGTAAGATTAGTACATAGTAGAAACTCAGTTTTAAAGTAGGTATTGATATTTTCAATGTTAATCATAGTGCAACTCAACTGGGTTAGTCTGAGGCTTGATGTATTCCAGAATCCAAACACAAGCTGCTGTTGGTTCGGGTTTTGGGCCAATCACAAACAAACAACATGGGTCATATGTTTATGAACTTAGACCCTTTAATATATGTACATATTGTTGTACATGAGATCATGGGAAAAAAGAAGTGCTTTTCTTTCTCATTTCTAATTAAACTTACTATTTTCCACTATTCACAAAAATGTAGTTCAGCTACAGTGATAAATATGAGGCTTTCATTTTCATTTTCTGAATGCTTATTCCAGTAAAGACCCTAGTGTGGCACTTCCAATAGAGCGGACTTTCAAAGTTCCCAATGTTGATAAAGTCATCAAAGAAGGCCAGAAGGCTCCCTCAAAATTTCGCGACATTAAGCTGCATAGCATTGGTTGTCAACTGGAAACTGAGATGTACACAGAATCTGGTTGGCCATCTGTCAGTGGTGATGCTTTAAAGGCTCTTGCTGGAAATGCTTCAGCTGAATATGACTTTCTAGATGAGGCCTGTAACCTGGGTTGTGATGATGAATATGAAAATTCTTCTAAGGATGAAGTTACCTATGTGGAAAAGGACACTACAGCTTATGGAACTGCTTTTTCTGCCTTTGCAACTGAGGATGAAGGTAGAGAAGCTTGCCATGCAATTGCTGCTTTATGCGAAGTCTGTTCAATCGACTCTTTGATATCTAACTTTATCCTTCCCTTGCAGGTAATTTATTCTATTTGTATTTCTGTTAGATTTTCCTCCCTTTTGTTTATGCTAATCATTCATTGTTGCGTTCCCCTGATAATCTTTGACTACTTTGGCTGAGGCATATTTTTAATGAAGTTTTGGTTGGAAACTTTTTAAGTTTCAACATTATTTGAGCATGAGTGACAGGTGGGGGAGGGTAGCTTGCTATCTATTTACTCGTCCACTAATGCAATTTTCTTTATTTTATTCTAGGATTGTTAATATTTTTCTAGTTTTCTTGGTTTTGGTCTGTGGCAGGGTAGTAATGTTTCGGGAAGGAATGGGCGCATTCATTGTTCCTTAAATATCAACACGGAGACAGGACGCTTGTCAGCTAGAAGGCCTAATTTACAGGTTCTTTTAAATTAAAAGACATGATTAAAGTCATCTTTATGATTATGATTAGGTTACTTTTGAATGTTAAATTTTGGTTTACTTGAAAAAGCTCGAGTACTGTACAATATAAACTCTACCATTGGCCTCCGTTTTTGGTATATGGGCATGTTGTTCCTAAATTAGAAGTTGGATCACACATTGTAGCAGTGCACAAAAAAAGGGACTGGACAGTTCGGCTTAGACCAGAAACCGGCCTCCGATCAGCTCGGAATAAACCGGGATGAACGAGGAAAAACCGAGTAACCCACTGGTTCGTGCAAGTTGGCCGGTTTCTTTTTTTTTTTTTAAAAAAAAAAGCTTCTTTCTTGCTCACTGTTTCCCGGAGGAGCCATGGAAAGTGGAAACTACTCGTGCTCTGCCTCTGCTCGTCGAAGTCAAGGAGGAAGAAGTGTAATGAGTGACTGATGTGTGTTCAAGGAGGAAAGAAGCTGTGATGGATTGATGCATACTGAAGGAGGAAAGAGAGTCTGCACTCTACATGTTCAAGGGGGGAAGATGAAAGAGGAAAGAAGTTGTGTATGCCATGTGATGCATGTGTATTAGGGAGAGGAGGAAAGGTCAAAAGGTAGAGTGCTAATGATCACGTGGGAGAGAGAACAAAAATGAGGAAAGAAGGAACAAAGGGAGTTAAAAAAAAAAAAAAATACAAAGAGGAGATAATTTATTGAGTCACTGGCGGTAGAAAGAGGAAAATAAAAGAAAGAAAAAAAAATTCATATGTATAAATACTTTATAACATAAGTAATTATTTAAAAATTAAAAATTATTTATTATAATTAAAATATGAATATTTTAACTCATTTTAAATAAATTCTAACATTTTAATATAACTGGTTTGACTCTGAGTTGATCCCGATATGACTGTTTAACCCTCAAACCACTGTGTTAACTGGTTTAGTATCTGGTCCAGTTTTTTATTCCTTGCATTGCAGTATTATTTCACAATATACTGTACTACTTGATGCTAGTATGTGGGTTTTACTTACTACACAACTCTATCTGTAATAGTAGTTGCATAGCAACCCATTTTCTATCTTTCTTATGAATGGCTGCAACAATATTTTATGGCACTAACTTATTATTGTTGTTGTTGTTGTTGTTATTTTTAAGATTATGTCCTTTTAACTTTGTCTCTCATTTTGTTATGATGCATCATAGAATGCTTTATCTTCTTTGCTTATCTTTATCTTTATTCAAATAAAAACGTATCCAAACTTTAATTCATCATTACATTTTGGTGAGGAAATTTATATGGTTATGATTTTCCTTAACTAAAGTGAATGAACCTTTCTTCTCTCTTTTTTTCAATTTTTTTTTGTTCTTTGTATTAACAGCAGCTTTATTATGGATGACATGGGATCCTGTTGGGCATACAGGGGCAGGGCTGAAATTCTGTTTTGCTTGTTAAGTATTTGAAGTTTCCATTGGAAGCATCTTCTCTCTTTTCTGGACGTCGGATGTCTACTTGGTCTTTTGTTTCATTAGCTATTAATTCGATAGAGTTGATGGATACTGTTAGGTGGTTTCATTTGTTTTGGGGTTTTCAGTCGGACTTTCACGTGTAGGTATCACATTGACTAGATTTATAATTGTTATTCAAAATCTTTAGAGCTCATCTAATATATGTGTGCTTTTAATAAAATAGAATCAACCTGCGTTGGAAAAGGATCGGTACAAGATTCGTCAAGCTTTTATAGCTGCACCTGGTAATTCTCTTATAGTTGCTGATTATGGACAGGTTAGCAGTTTATGCTATTGATTTATTTGCGTTGATTGCAATAAAGTTGTTCTGTTGATTGAGATGTTTATTGTGTTACAGCTGGAGCTAAGAATTCTTGCGCACCTTGCCAGCTGTAAGAGTATGCTGGATGCCTTTAAAGCTGGTGGAGATTTCCATTCAAGGACTGCAATGAATATGTATCCACATATTCGAGAAGCAATTGAAAAAAAGGAAGTGGTTCTGGAGTGGCATCCTCTGCCTGGTGAAGATAAACCCCCAGTTCCTCTGCTAAAGGTACTAGTACTTATCAGCTGATTAATACAGGAAACGGGCAGTGTGAATAGATGGTAAGACCCTTTGCTCAGAGATATGCAAGTAATGCCATTATTTGCTGTCTCTGGTAACTGATTTGACCGGTCAGGTTTAAAAACCACCTTTGTTTTGGAAGTTAGTAAAGGAGGACAGCTCGTCTGCTCTTTCTTCAGGATGACCATGGTTTCCTCAATTATTAGAACTGTGAAGCTCTTGAATTAAGGGATACATTTTTCTTGCAAATAATTATTTTCAGAGAATTAAGTGATGACATGATACGTAACCCTTTGTTAACCTAAAAATCAAACTCTTGAAGATAGAGATAAGAGAATACATCCATGCAGTGAAGAAAAATTTAGGAAATAATTATATTATAAAGCATGGGTTCATGTCTTGAAATTCAGATCTAAATGAGCGGTTTCCAGAATTTTAGAGACTGCTGGGCTTTTTTCAGTGGCTGTGGCATGAGATTCAAGCTGATTTTCAGACTCATGTTCAGGAATTGGAGTTGGATGGAAGAGAGGTAGTAGTAACAGTGGCATCTAGTGACATTTAGGGTCCATTTGCCTGCTGTCTAGAATGGGTGGTTAGGGATAATAAGGTTGATCTTCCACTAATTTAACATTCTTAGTGACATATACTTTCTTTGTGGCTGGACAAAGACACTTGTACCCCTTCTGGTTTGAGGAATAACCCAGAAAAATGGTTTTAATGGCCCTAGACTCCCATTTTCACCCAAAGCTGCACACGCAAAATCCCTCTGGAATAGAGGTTTGTGAGGGGAAATTAGGATATGCTTCACAGAATTTTTGAAATGGGGCAAGGAACTTCAAAGTTGGGGAGGGCATGTGATTTTTTACATGGGTAGAGGTGAGTGTAGCATTCCCAAAATTTGTTGGGCACATGACTACCGATCATGATAGCTCTAGCTACTTGAAGAAGGTGACCATTCTTCCTTTGGTGACACCGTTTTGCTGAGGTGACCTAACACAAGAAGTTTGATGGTGTATTCTCTGTTCTTATGGGAACATTTTAAAAGGTGAGTTTAAGTAATTCACTTTGAAGAATTTCTATTGAAGTTTGGAGCTGGTCTTGAACAAAGGTGTAGAATCTTTTGAAAATGGCGTACACTTCATGTTTCTCTCACAGTAGGAAAACTCAAAATGATCATCAATGAAGGTGACAGACCATCTGGCCTTAGAGTTAGTTTCAAATTTTGGAGGACCCCATACATCACTATGAATAAGAGCAAAAGGATGAGTGTGATTATAATATGATAAGGATAAGAATTGGGAACTTGCTTAGGCCACGGTTAAGTCTTGAAATTCACAACCACATTTGTCTAAAATAACAAGACAATTTAATTGAGATGCCACTCGATTTACAGATAATAGATTGCATTAAATTTCTAGGACATATAAAACATCCTTTAAAGCAAATTTTTGCGGACATAATCACAATGCGGGAGCCCATGACTCTTGCATACTGCCCATTTGCTATTTCAACAGTTTCATGCTCAGAAAATTGTTCTTTAACAGAATCCACCACCCAAGTATCTTTGGGTTTAACCGTACTTCAAAGTACATCAGTAAGGGCTATACTTGCGTGTGCCGATGTAATAAATGGTCAGCACTTAAGGAATCAGTCTCAGATTCTATAGCATTAACCATCAAGCCTTTCTTTTTGCCTTTTGTCCTTTGCTTTGAGTTTGGGGGCTTGCCATGTAATTTCCAGCAGGTGTTCCTGGTGTGTCCATTTTTGTTGCAATGGTCACACCACTTTTTTTAGACATCTTTCCCTCACTTTGCCCTAGTTCCCACTGATAGATAGCGCAGATGCATCATGGAGAGCTGCAGCTGCACTTTAAGTAAGCATCTTCCTACTTTTCCTCACGTATGATCATATTGGATTCTTCTTCTAGTTAGTGAAGGGGCTTCTGTTATGGTCAAAATATAAGTAGTTAGATAGTTAGTTATGGTAATTACAGTTATTTTTCAGATTGTTTGTTTCCGTACAGAACTAGCTGTTATAATCTAAGGGGACTAACCTATAAATAAGAGTTCCCTAGATCATTTGTACCTGTGTTGTTTTGCTATTGAATAAATACACTTTGAATCCTCTGTCTCTCTCGATCTCTTTGTCCTCTTTTCCTCTTTCTCTCTCTTCCCTCTTCTTTCTCAATTTCCATAACAGCTTCATACTCACGATATGACCTTGCATGTCCTCAAATGGGTCATTTAAACCAAGCAAAAACTCATAACACCTTTCTCTATCAAGAAGTTGCTTGTAATATATCTTGTCTTGGTGACAAGACCACTTGCAGACTTCATAGAGATTGATTTGTTGCCAAAGTTTCATTAGTGAACTATGATATTGGGTTAGTGTTTGCTCCGCTTGAATCAACTTTCAATCAACAAATTGCTTGTAATATAGTCTCTCTTGGTGATGAGATCACTGATGAATTTCATAGAGATCAATTTGTTGCCTAAGTTTTGTCAGTGCACTGTGATATTGGGTTGGTGCTTGCAACCATTGGCCATAACTATTTATAGGCCCAGGAGCAAGAAAGAGAAAATTGACCTCTTGATGCTTGACAAGAGACTAGAGGATAGGGGAAGGTTATGCACTGATGGATGATCTTTAGGGGAGATGCTTAAAATGAAAATAATTAGGGAAAAATCATGAATTCCACACTCTCCTTTAAACTAAGGTATATATTTCACTCATGCCTAGTTTGGATATGTTAACATCAAAACCTTGAAGGTGCATAAATGTTGAAGAGCAATGCGTTAAATGCCCTAATCTTCAAGGGCTTCATGCGCAAACCTAGCTCAATGTGTGCTTTCCATGTTTCAATGCCTACTACAGAATGTTGTATTTCTAGACAAGAAGGACAAATCAAGAAAATGACTTCCAATAGGACTAAACTCTATGCCGATTGGCTATCATTGAATGGCCGGGGTGTCATATTATCAAAGGACCAGAAAAGTGGACATCTGTTGTGTCATGCTGTAATATGCTTCCATGCTCGTCCCATGCAGCAATTCATATGATGTAGGAAGTACCCCCACATCTTTTTGATCTCTTGTTTCCATGCAGCTGCGCATTGGCATAATGAAAGCTTGGCATCGCCAAGGAGAGACAATCTTGAAATTATTTGCGCCTAAAAGCAAATTGTCCAACTAGATTGCACCTTGCACTCAAAGCATATTGTCTGGAAGGATATTTTCTCTATGCTGTCCTTTTTTTGTGATGTTTCCATTCATTTAGCTCAACCTTCTCTTTTTAATAGGTTTTCTAATTTTAGTCCTTGCTCCCTCACTATTTCTGTATTGTAATAAACTTCTAATGTTTTAATATCATTTTGCCTATTTATCCCAAAAAAAAAAAACCTGTTTTTACTCTGTTTTATTTATAATATTTTTGGATAGAATCTGTTGATGATCTTGTCAAAATTAAGTCGATTTACCCTCTATTACTCAACTAGAGACGGCAGGCTTGTGTATAGTGGTTTAATTTCGTGTTATGCCTTTCTGTACAATAAATTTATCCAGGTGGTTTTTCTTATAGTAATAAAATTGGAGAATACATGAACTGAACCGATAATTTAAAATCAAGATAGGTGTGCAGTGTTCCCATCATATTTGTTAAGTTCAACATGCAGTATGATTTCTATTGGATAATTCATATTGATTTTGATATTCTTGTCATTTCAGGATGCATTTGGTTCTGAAAGAAGGAAAGCCAAAATGCTTAACTTTTCAATTGCCTATGGAAAAACTCCTGTGGGGCTAGCCAGGGATTGGAAGGTATCTCAAATTCTGCTGCAGGTGAAAAATACTATTTGATTGTCCAGACAATTTAATGGATGTGTATTCTCAGGTTTCTGTAAAAGAAGCTAGGGAGACAGTTAAGCTCTGGTACAATGATAGAAAAGAAGTTTTGGCATGGCAAGAGCAGCGTAAAAAAGAAGCCTGTGAGCATCATTGTGTATACACACTGCTAGGGCGAGCCCGGCGGTTCCCTTTGATGGCTAAAGCTACATCATCTCAAAAAAGTCATATTGAGCGGGCTGCTATAAATACACCTGTGCAGGTCCTTCATTCTATCTAATATAATAATGCATTCGCCCTCTTTTGTCACTGTATCTGAAGTATAATGTTTGCCTCATTGTGGATATGCAATGTTTTGAATTTATTTGTCTGCCATGAGCAAGGCAACCTCTCAAAAATTAGTGAGGGGCTGAGGCAGCACACCTGCCGCTATTTCACTTGATTGTAGCAAATCATGATCAGAATAAAAACAATAAAGAAAAATAAAGGAGATGTGGAGAGGGAATACAGGTGAAAAACAGTTATAAGAGGGACTGTGTCTCTCAGTGAGCTGCACCAATAATGACCTCCAAAAATGGTTGTCCAAGCTGATCTTAGTTGTAGTAACATCTGATTCTCAAACTTCTTGTTGTTTCATGCCCCATTAGTGGTCCGTACCCTAAGATAAGTTCGTGACCCCATCCTTGGGGACCTTTTCTTCATGGTTTTCTGATTTTTGAAATTGCCACAGGGCAGTGCAGCTGATGTTGCCATGTGCGCCATGTTACAAATATCCAGAAACACACGGTTGAAAGAGCTTGGATGGAAGTTACTTCTACAGGTCAACTTCATGTCGTGAATATTTCCTTTTAAGATCTATGTAATATTGTTTTGTTTCTGTCGAACTAGTATTTTCCTACGGCACACAGACTTATATGGGATAGAAGGTTCGTTATGTGATGACAAAGCTAAGAAACTTGCTCAAATTTCAAAGCTTTATGTCACACTTATTTTGTTGTGCTTGGCTATAATTTTTTGTTTTATGGAAACTTCATGAACTCCGTTTTTTTTTTTTTTTTAAAACCAGTTTTCTGAAAGGGTTTTCTTCTAAACATTTTTCTTTGTCCACATTAACCCGGACTTTATCATTATTAGACTGTTAGTACTCTAGTTTGATGAGCATTCAACTTCTTATCAAGGATGGTAGATGGAGTCCATGGGATTTTGACATGATTATCCCGTCACTCGTTGCTGCGAATTCTATGACCGTTTTCAATTGCTGTTATCTCATGTTGAGGCTATTTCATGTTGCAAATTGCTGAGTTCGTATATTTCCTGTTATCTGCTATTTATGTGTGTGTGTGTGTGTATTTTATGTGGGTGCACGGTGCAGGTTCATGATGAAGTCATACTTGAAGGGCCAACAGAATCTGCTGAGATTGCAAAGGCTATAGTTGTTGAGTGCATGTCCAAACCGTTCGATGGCAAGAATATTCTTCAAGTCGATCTCGCTGTTGATGCTAAGTGTGCGCAAAACTGGTACTCAGCAAAATAGATACTTGGTCTGAGCTTTTACGGTAGGAAGGCCATGCATTGGTTTTGGAGGGGCTTACTTTGGCCCATCGTGCCGCTGCCCTTACTGGATCTGGGGAATGTTTCCTCTCATTTTACGTAACCTTGGCTTCATAATTGGCTTTGTGAATGCAATCAAAGATGCTTTCGCTTCAATCTCTTTTTGGTCGTGAGACTAAGGTTTTGGATGTTGTGGGTGGCGGTTCCAATTTGAAGGCTGGGAATCTTAAAGCAGTGCATGAACGCCCATAGCAAGAAGCAAATGGCTCAAACCAACTGCTGTCTCCGCCTTGGCTACTTTCATTGGTTTGGTTTTTAGGTTCCATGTGATTTGCTTCATGTACTTATATGATTATCGGTTCGATGTAGATTGTATTATACATGTATATAAATCAAATACGGTGACCATATCAATCCTGCTGATGGCCATGTTTAGTCTTAGTTTTTTTTTTGTTGTTGTTATAAAATGATCAATTATATTAAATGTAAAAGGGTAATTATATAAGCACACGAGACAACTTTTAAAGTTTCCCCCAAAAAAATCTTGAGGCTCTATTTTCTCTCCATGTACAAAATGATCTATTTCCAAGTTTGCCCGAAAAATCTTTTTTGAATAATAGAAAATAATAAAAGCAATTTTTGAGAAAAAATATGACGTGTAACAAGATCAATTATAGAACAAAACAAGTTGTTATGGTTTTTAATTTTAATAACAGAATCGAAGTTCACAATGTAGAGGAAATAGAGGTAACCAAGTCCGATGTTAACCCATCATAAATAACGACATTCTTGGCAGCCAAAAGAGCAGAAAAGAGAATGGAGAGATGTAAGGCGTCCTCATGAAACAGTGTTATTGGCCCAGCGAGAGTGCAAAATGATCTCAAGTCTCGCTGATTCTGCATAACTAGCACCAGTTGATCTCCACCTTGATTTCATAATCCGGATTTATTTTTTTGCGCAAAAATAATCCAGATTGATGAGTCCATATGAGAACCTTTCGAAAATACTGACGCATGGGAAGTCTCTTGGGCTTTGTTTGATAAAACATGGAAAATAAATGATAGAGATTGAGATTATAATTTAAAAAAATTATTAAAATAGTATTTAACATAAGCAATTATTTATTATATGGGATTAGGCTGCGTTTGGTAGGAAGCATTAAAAATGAAAGATTGATATTAAGATTGCAATTGAAAAAATTTATGAAAAGAGTGTTTAATATAAGAAATTGTTTGTTATATGGGATTAGTCAAACCCATGTACATGGAATTGGAGAATATCACAGGAGGAGTGGCTAATCCCACATAAATGGGTTTGGCTAATCCCATATAATAAACAATTACTCATGCTAAATACTATTTCAATTATTTTTTTAATCCCAATCCCAATCCCAATCTCTCATTTTCAATTTCGTATCAAATGGAACCATAGGGATGGGATGGGGAATATCATAGAGAGAGTGATATTCTCCAATTCCACATATAGAGTTTGCTAATCTCATGTAATAAGTAATCTCTTCTGCTAAATATTCTTTTAATAGATTTTTTCAATTCTAATATCTAATTTTCAATGTTTCTTACCAAACCAAACGGGACCTTAAAGTAAAAAGAAGGATACTCCCCGTCAAAATGGATCAGGCGTGTGTATTTGACATGAATGTACTTGCAAGATCCGGCTTTCGAATACGTAGATCGCCAAGCCAACACCCAGGTCTGATTCCTGAAATGAACATCAAGTAGCCTTATCTGGGAAAACCATGCAATACACTTGTATGAATATGTTGTTGTTGGTGATTCTTATGAGGATTCGGTGAAATGAGAACCTGATCCCAAAATCAGTAGTGTCTAAAAATGGCAAGAGCAGCTGCATGTATAGTATGGATAGCAGCGCTGCATAATAGAATTCCGTCTCTCCCAAATAATATTGAGTCCAAGTTATGACGCCTTTCGTGGTTGCCAATGCATCCTGATCATCGAGTGTTGAACCTTGCAAACCATTTTTTCAGCGACATTACCAGTCCCTCTTGTACCATCCAAACTCTTCATGTCCTCTGTGATCTACTCCTATCCTTGCCTTGCTCACCTCCTTCTTCCTCGTAGGATTTTTAGATATCCTGCTCCCTTTCACTCCCTTCAAGCGTCCACTATAGCTTCCTCTACCTCTATGAAAGCGCCCGGACTCGTCTCACCCCCTTCCATAATCCGGATCATCTCTTTTTTTTTTTTAATCTTCTGGCTTCTTTAGGAAGTCCAGCTGTGTTTTTATTTTTTAAATTAATATACTCCTCCGGTCCTAATTATAAGACCCAATTGACTTATTTGAGGAGATTAAGGAAGTAAGTTAAGTTGGTTATTTATAATAAATAAGTGTTGTCATTCCTAAAATATCCTTGCTAATTAAGTATATTGGCTAAAACTATCATTATTAGAAGGATTATCTTGGAAAAAATGCATAAATATAAGAGACAAAATGGATTGGGTCTTATAATTAGGACCAATAAAAAGTCAAATTGGGTCTTATAATAAGGACCGGAGGAGTACTAAATATGGTAAACATTATTTTGAAAAATATTCAGATCAAATTTCTTATATTCATGATCTCAAATTTTCCAATAACACATAACCGTGTCCTATTTTTTTTTTCATGTGAGTTTGTAATTAAATAATAATATTTCAAATATATGACAAATGTACAAGTATAGTTTTTTTGAAATATTTTATTTGAATTAAAAAAAAGCAAAAATAATAAAATGACTTTCTTTTGTATAACTTTTTTTTTTTGCGTGTGCCAAAGCATAAAAAATTTCTCGCCAAGCCCCCCAAAAAAAAAATCTCCGTCCCTCCCCTCCTCATTTCCCGTTTGCTTCTTCCCTTCCGTTCAAACCAAACACGAAGGAGAAGGTTAAAAAAAAAAAAAAAAAGACACGAATTATTCACGTCATGGGGAGGAGATCAGACTCTAGTGCAGAATCAAGCGGAGCAATTCTATTTGATCTGATCTGCTCTTCTCTTATCTCTGTTTGATGGTTTGAGCTTCTTCGAGTGCTATAGAGTTCAAAGCCTTAGCTAAGCTCGCCATCGTCAAGTGGCCGCTGCTGGAAGCCTGGAAGTTTCTTGCTTTCGTCTCCCTCACATGTATCACCACCGTTCTTCATTGGCAATTAAAAAGGTAGGTTGCTCACTTTTATTATCTGGTCCTTCAGGCCTCTCCCTCCCTTGCGGTCTATGCTTCATTCTTCTTCTTGTGCTAGTTTTGAGATGCTAATTGAATTATCACTAATCATAACGCTGATTTTATCGATAGTCATTTCGGTTAAGTTCTTCAATAAATTTTTATTATTTTAAAAAATATCGTCTTCAGTGGACGTTGCTCTTTATTTATTGCTCCAACCTGCGCAAAATTTCCTTTTGTAGTGAACTTCATCTGCGGATGGTCTTTAATTTTTTCGGGCTACGACTTACGACATTGTTTAACAGAAGAGGGTATCGTCAATGGATCAATACGGTCTCTCTGGTTTAGTGCTGTACTCTTGATCGATACAATTTACGGCAGGCGGTATAGCCATAATTGCAGTTTCTCTTACGTGACATCTGCATTGAAGCTGAGCGGTGGTGTTGATTTCGAGGCGATGGAATCATTGGCTGTAGGTGAGCTTCTTCATCTTTTGCATTTTATTACGTCTCTACTCGCTTCTGCATTTTCTATCAACGGCTAATGTAATATCGTTCTAACGATCTCTAGCCAACATCCTTCTTTCTTGCCGATCGCATTGTACCGAATGTGAAAATCATTAGCCAGTCAATTCCCTAGATCTCTTTTTAGCTTAGCTATTTCCTTTTAGCTAATTGGGATCATAAGATGAGCTTTTCTAAGAAGAGGCACAGTGCATATCTAACTATGCAGTTGGACCCTTTTATTCTGTTTTAAATGCATTTCTCATTTCGTCTAAAATCTTATGCACGCTTTTTCCTCCTTGTAATTGTTACAGCTGGTGGTTTAAGGGACACATCAGTTATAGTTGTTACATTGGATACTGATGAAGTGTATATCATTGTCAGCCTGTCCACTAGACCTGACACACAAGTTATATATGTGGATCCAACAACTGGTGCCCTGTGCTACAATGGGAAGTCGGGGCTTGATGTCTTCAAATCTGAGAATGCAGCTTTGGATTTTATCACGAATGGATCACGTTGGTTATGTAGAAGTAGAATCTATGCCAGGGCGATCCTAGGTTATGCTGCCTTGGGAAACTTTGGATTGCTTCTGGTTGCTACAAGATTAACTGCGAGCATCCCAAATTTGCCTGGTGGAGGTTGCGTGTATACTGTTTCTGAAAGCCAATGGATCAAAATATCACTTCAAAATTCTCAACCCCAAGGTAAAGGAGAGGTGAAAAACATCCAAGAATTAACTGAGCTTGAGATTGATGGGAAGCATTACTTTTGTGACTCAAGAGATATAACTCGGCCTTTTCCAAGTCGCTTTCCGCTGTACAAGCCTGATGATGAATTTGTTTGGAATGGGTGGTTTTCAACACCTTTTAGGAACATTGGACTGCCACAGCATTGTGTCACTCTCCTGCAGGTTTTGATTCATGCTTGGTATTTTCATGGGTGCTCAGCTGCCTACAGTGATATATTATACTTCCTTTCTCGCCTTTCTGTTTACTTCCTCTACTTGTAGCTGTCATACAGTCTTTGTGCTAATGCAGCAGTAATGTGCACGTCCAGGGTTATAGTTCATATTCATGCTGATGAGGCGTATTTGAATGATGTGTATAACTGAGAAGTTGCTGTTAAACAAAGACAGTAGTAACTGAAGGGGGATAAGCATTTGAGGGAGAAACTAGTGCTGCTATTTTATAAGATCTCTGTTACAAGTAACGACAATTGTTTAACAAATATGCTAACAGAAAGTTTGTTATTGATGATTACTAATCTGAAGGAACTAATGGATGCAAAGAATATATGTTTTAGGTATAAGGTTTCACAGTAGCAATGCGTGAATTTAGCTTTGTACCAACTAGAAGGTTTAGCTCATTTCAGTTTGTTGAAACTGTTGAGATCTTTCAAATAAACTATTCATCGGTTAATATATTTGAATTCCATTTTTTATCTGCTTTTCAAATTAACTAGTTTGTTCCTAGATATTAGGATTGCTGTCTCTGTTTGTTTGGTTGCCTTTTGCATGATTTTCCCCCTTGTTTCTTCTATCACAGTAGGTATCTTGTTCCTATCTAAGAATGTACTTAATATACTAGAAATAGGAAGTCTTTCGTCCAAGTGGTATCAAAGCCTATACAACTAAAAGGTCAAGAGTCTGATCTGTGCCTCTCAGTAGGAGGAGTTAAAAGTCTGTTTCATGTATTTTTCCATATATTAATACCCTCTTTGGTTTGCTGGAAGAATTTTTGAAGGAAGTGGAATAGGAAAAGGAAGTGGAAATAGAATAGGAAAAAGAATGGAAGCGGATCTCAAAAATGTTTTTGGTATATGCATAGAATCCTCACATAATTTGTATTTGATGTGTGTATTTTTAATATTAAAATACTATACCCTTGGAAAAGAAGCTCTAGATCTACCATTCCCTGTGATAGCTGAAGCTCTTCTTTTCACCTTTGACACATACAGTGGGGAAGGGACTGTGATGAAGAGCGACACATATGACAGAGACTGCCAGTGTTGAAGGACTCTCACTAAAGAAAGGCTCTCACCATCTTCACTATTGAAAGGGCAGCGTGATGGAGGTGACAACTTAATTGGAGGTGGGAGTAGTTGCAGCGATAGGGAGGCTAGTGGTGGGGATGCGGTGGACAGGGTTGCAGTGGATGGTGGATAGGATTATTGGGGGGTAAAATATGGATATGCTTTGGCTTCCGTAGGTCCTAGGATGGAAATGAGTTATAATCTATTTTGATTTTGATGGAATTGGGTTCCGTACAGGATCAGATTCCAATGCACCAACTGAGCAATTTTGAGAATTCCATTTCCATTTCCACTTCCACATTCCCGTTTCCAACACGACAAATGAAGCAGGAGTGCAAAGATATTTTGTGTGTGATATGACTATATATTTATTGTTTGTTATTTCTTCCCTTATCTAACACAAATAAAAAGCCCTGCAAGCTCTGTTGTAAATCTATTTAAAGCTAATGCAGGCCGTTGGTTATTTTGGTGATAGTAATAATACGCCTGCAGTTAACACATATAAAGCAGTTGAGATACTGTTAAAAAAAAAAAAAGGTAATCGAGGTACTATCTTCTCACTTGGTCTTCATGTGTAGGGGTTTGCGGAATGCCGGAGTTTTGGAAGCTCTGGTCAACTCGAAGGTATTGTTGCATTGATAGCTCGTCGAAGCAGACTGCATCCTGGTACTCGTTACTTGGCAAGAGGGCTGAATTCATGTTTTAGTACAGGTGAAGAAACATGTATATTCCTCTTGGACTTGAGTTCTCCATTTGATTGAGTTAAACAAATACTGCATTGTAGTCAGGCTATCTCTAAGGATATATTATTTTAACATAACTTTTGCCTGTGTAGGCTGTGTCTACTTGAGCTTTGAATATTAGGCTTTTTCAATCATTTCTGTCTTGGGTTTTAATTCTCTTGATCTCCTTATATTTTATTTTTTGTTGGCAAGGATTTGCTTCAATAGAGTTTATATGGAAGAATAATACTAAACCAGGTTTACCTTTCATAACTAATTATTTAAGGGCTTCGCTGTTTTGGATTTGCAACTCATTGATATTGAAGACGCGGTATACAGAGTAATATTGATCTGTTATTCAGAGTGCACTGTACATCGGATATATATAAGGAAAAGAGATAGACTGAGATAGACGGAGATTACAGAGGATCACACAATTAATCTAGGAGTAATTTAAATTTAAATCTGATCTCCTAATCTGCCTAGGATCGTGGGAGTAGATATACACTAAATATTAAATATTAAATATTATAGTATTAACTACACTCCCCCTCAAGTTGGATCATAGATGCTAATCATGTCCAACTTGCCTATAAAGTTCTCGAACAATTCTTCAGGAAGCCCCTTTGTGAGAATGTCTGCAAGTTGTTGCTTTGAGGTCACATAGGACAAACATACAATTCCATCTTCCACTTTTTCTCTGATGAAGTGTCGGTCAACCTCAACATGCTTAGTTCTGCTATGTTGTACTGGATTTAGAGCCATGTTTATGGCTGCTTTGTTGTCACAAAATAGTTTCATTGGCTTGTTGATCTGAACTTGAGCCTCCTCTGCTACTCTTTCCAACCAGAGACCCTCCATGATACCTTGAGCTAGTGCCCTTAATTCTGATTCTGCACTACTTTTAGACACAACATTCTGCTTTTTACTCTGCCATGTTACTAGATTGCCCCACACAAAGGTACAATAGCCAGATGTGGATCTACTGTCCTCAGGAGCACCTGCCCAATCTGCATCTGTGTAAATTTCCACTGTTCTGGATTCACATTTCTTAAAGAAGAGTCCTCTACCTGGTGTTCCTTTCAAGTATTTCAAAATTCTATAGGCTGCATCCATGTGTTTCTTTCTGGGTGAGTGCATATGTTGACTTGCTACACTTACTGCAAAGGCAATATCAGGTCTGGTATGAGACAAGTAGATTAACTTCCCTACTAGTCTCTGGTACCTCCCAATATCCACAGGTTCCTCATCTTTTCGTTGCTTCTTTTCTTTCTCAGCCTCTTCTTTGGTAGTTGCTTTCTTATTACACCTGTTGATGCTTCCCTTCTTGACACTCATTGGCATTTTTATTGGCCTGCATCCCAGCATACCTGTTTCCCGTAGTAAATCGAGAATATACTTTCGTTGTGAGACATAAATTCCCTTCTTTGAACGTGCAACTTCCATTCCAAGGAAATACCTCAGTTTTCCTAGATCTTTGACCTCAAATTCTCGGTCTAAAGCTGTCTTTATTCTGTTTATCTCGGTTACATCATCACCTGTGAGAATAATGTCATCTACATAGACAATAAGAATTGCCTTCAGTGCTCCATTCTTCTTGACAAACATTGTGTGATCTGACAGACTTTGTCTATAGCCCTCAACCTTCAGTACTTTAGAGAATCTGTCGAACCAAGCCCTGGGGGACTGTTTTAAGCCATACAGAGATTTTTTTAGCTTGCAGACTTGATTTTGCTTCCCCTTGTCAAATCCTGGAGGAAGTGTCATATAGACTTCTTCTTTCAATTCTCCATTAAGAAACGCATTCTTAATATCTAGTTGTTGTAATGGCCAATCCAAGTTGGCTGCAATAGATAACAGAACTCGGATTGTATTTAATTTTGCCACTGGAGCAAAAGTCTCAGTGTAGTCTAGCCCATAGATCTGAGTGAAGCCCCTAGCTACCAGTCGTGCCTTAAACTTATTGAGTGTTCCATCTGCATTGTATTTCGGGGTAAAGACCCACTTACAACCCACTGCTTTCTTCCCTTCTGGTAGATTAACCACTTCCCATGTTTCATTCTTTTCTAATGCCGTTATCTCTTCTAGTACTGCCTTCTTCCACTCAGGATGATCAAGTGCCTCATGTACATTGTTGGGTATTCTGATTTCATCAAGATTAGTGGTAAAAGCACGATAATCAAGAGATAGAGTGGTATAAGATACATACTTTTGGATAGGATGCTTAGTACACGAACGAGCCTTCTTCCTCAGAGCAATAGGTAGGTCCTCCTCAGTGGTTCCAGGATCTTTCATTTGGTCAGATTCTGGCAGAGCTCTGGGCATGTTGGACTCTATAGTTTCTTTATCTCTCCGTGTGTACACCTTGCTATATTTTTCACTGGTCTTATCTCCCCCTGTCTTTGGCACTTGTGCAATGTTTGGAGGGATAGGAATAGGTGTCACGGACGTCACAGACTCTGTAGGTTGCATTGGGGGTATGGGCTCAGGTATGCTTTCTACACACTGAAATTCATTCCAACTCTCCCCCTGAATTGAAGAAGTGGGAAAGTACGGTTCATGCTCATAAAAGGAGACATCACGACTAATAAAGAGACGTTTAGAAGTAGGATCATAGCACTTATAGCCTTTCTGACTTGATGAGTATCCCAAGAAAAGACACTTAACAGCACGTGGGTCAAGTTTAGAAGAAGGGTGATGAAGATGAACAAAGACAGAACAACCAAAAACACGAAGCGGAAGGTGGTGATCAAGATGAGTGACGGGGTGAGTTTCGCGTAGTTTATCTAAGGGAGAGACAAAAGAGAGAACACGACTTGGCATTCGATTGATTAAATGAGTGGCCGTTAGAACAGCATCCCCCCAAAAAAATTTAGGTACATTACTTGTGAACAGGAGTGCGCGGGCAACCTCAAGCAGATGTCGATTTTTTCTTTCGGCAACACCGTTTTGTTGTGGACTATGAGGACAAGAGCTATTGTGGACAATGCCATTGCTTTTTAGAAAAGAGTCAAGCTGATGATTAAAAAACTCAGTGCCATTATCTGTGTATAAAACCTGAATCGTGGTATTAAACTGATTTTGGACAAGTTGAAAAAATTCCATAAAGACAGTAGGAACAGCAGATTTTTCTTTTAGTAAGTAGACCCAAGTCATTCGTGTATGATCGTCAATAAAGGTTACAAACCATTTTGAGTGGGTACGGTTTGAAATGCGAGACGGACCCCAAACATCACTGTGAATTATAGAAAATGGACGAGTGGGTTTGTATTGGGATGGTGGGAAGGGTGTACGGTGGTGTTTTGCAAATGTACAAGAATCACAATGTAAATGGAAATTTTTATTAATGGAAAAATGAGGAAACAAACGTTGTAAATAAGAGAAACTAGGATGACCCATCCGTTTATGCCATAATAAAATATCATTATTGTCAGAAGTAGAGACAAGACCATTGATTCGTGAACACAAGGCAGTCACAGTAGAGACGTCTAGATAATAGAGTCCATCATGCTCCCTAGCTATGCCAATCATCTTCCCCGATGAGAGATCCTGAAAAATACAGTAAGTGGGAAAAAAATAAGCACCACAATTGGCATGTTTAGTTATCTTGCTAACAGAAAGAAGGTTACAAGCCAGATGAGGGACATGTAAGACAGAATTGAGATGTAGGGAATCTGAAATAGTAACCGAGCCTTTTCCAGCAATGGGAGAACCAGTACCGTTAGCAGTGGTGATATTATCATTACCAGCACAGGGAAAATAGGTAACAAACATGCGAGCATCCGAGGTCATATGGTCAGTAGCACCAGTGTCAACTATCCATTTGTTGGATGTGAAGGAGGTGTGAAAAGCGAAAGGAGGAGTACCTGTATGAGCTACGGAGGCCGAAGCAGCAGGGGAAGGTTGCCGTGCTGGGAGACCTTTAAGAGCAATAAGTAGTTGATGCATTTGCTCATTTGACAAGGCTGGAAGAGAATCAGAAGATTGGGAGGTTTCTGGTGATACCTGATAGCCCCGAGGCTTACCCTTTCGAGGTTTCCAATCAGCTGGTTTGCCATGGATGTCCCAACAACGTTCACGAGTGTGACCCGTTTTTTTACAGTGATCACAAGTGACTATACCTTTCGTGGAGGATGACGAGGGCGCCCCTTTACTGATAAGAGCAGAGGAGTCAGAGATAGATGTTGGGGTTAGCATAACATTACGACGTGATGCTTCACGGAGGACTTCAGAGAACGCCTCACGAGTGCTAGGTAGTGATGCACGGCTGAGAATACGGCTGCGAAGGTCATCAAAGTCAGGATTCAAGCCGGCGAGAAACTGAAACACACGTTCTTTCTCAACAGTGTTTTTGTGTCGTGCAGCGTCAGCGGATGACGTCCATTCTTCCTCGGTGATCATATCCAATTCTTGCCATAATCCGACAAGCTCCAACCAGTAATCGGTGACGCTGCGAGACCCTTGTTTGATGTTCCAGATTCTAGTCTTGAGATCATAGAGCTGCGCGAGGTCCTCACCATCAGAGTAGGATTCACGAACAGCATCCCATATCTCTTTGGCAGTCGGCAAGTACATAAAACTCCGTTTAAGTGTAGGTGACATTGCATTAATCAACCAGGAGCAAACGAGTGAATTATCCGTGAGCCATCGCTGCATCTCCGAGGACTTGGGATCACTGGGTGCGGTCGACTCTCCTGTGATCAACCCGAGCCTTCCGCGGCCTCCAATAGCCAACCGCATTGCTTGAGCCCACTCTCTATAATTGCTGCCGGTGAGTTTTTCCGACACAAGGGTAATGGAGGAGGCATCGAAACTGACCGTAGACGCTGAGGAATTACTGGTCGAGATAGAGTTGTGCGTAGGCGATCCACCAGGGGGGTCCATCGTGGTCGGACGTTGCCTGGGGTTCGACCCAGCTTGTACGTCCTCCGATGTAGAGGAGGAATGAGAGGAACCTGCCGGACTCGACGATGGATGGACGTCGGCCGGCTCTAATACCATGAAGACGTGGTATACAGAGTAATATTGATCTGTTATTCAGAGTGCACTGTACATCGGATATATATAAGGAAAAGAGATAGACTGAGATAGACGGAGATTACAGAGGATCACGCAATTAATCTAGGAGTAATTTAAATTTAAATCTGATCTCCTAATCTGCTTAGGATCGTGGGAGTAGATATACACTAAATATTAAATATTATAGTATTAACTACATTGATATGTATATAATTTTGAATCTTTAGCTTGTTTCTGTGCTGATTTCTTGTCTGACAATTATAAAATATGGAAACATCCATTGATCACTTACTTCAGTCTTCACCTAAATTTATTCTGTAGTGGAAGTATGGAACTTAAAATACTACTGCTTTCATTTTTTGTTATGCTTCATCTGACGTTACTCCAATAATTTCATGCGCTGCCTGGAAGTGCTATACGTTTAATTTTCTTGTGTACAGGAAATGAGGTGGAATGTGAGCAGCTTGTATGGGTTCCTAAACGGGCAGGTCAGAGTGTACCTTTTAACACATATGTCTGGCGAAGAGGAACAATTCCTATCTGGTGGGGTGCAGAGCTAAAACTGACCGCTGCAGAAGCTGAAATTTATGTTTCAAATTGTGATCCTTACCGAGGAACGGTGCAGTACTATCAAAGATTGAGCAAGAGATATGATACTCGGAACCTACATATAGCTGCTAGTGAGAATCCCAGGCGAAAGGCTTTGGTTCCCATTGTATGCATTAACTTGCTTCGCTATGGGGAAGGAAAGTCAGAATCCATTTTGGTTCAGCATTTCGAGGAGTCTGTAAACTATGTTAGATCAACTGGAAAACTTCCTTATACACGGGTTCATTTGATAAATTATGACTGGCATGCTAGTATAAAATTAAAAGGTGAACAGCTGACAATTGAAGGGTTATGGAAACTTTTGAAAGCACCTACTGTATCTATTGGAATTTCTGAAGGGGATTATTTGCCTTCTCGACAACGAATTGACGATTGCAGAGGTGAAGTCATCTGCAATGACAATTTTGATGGGGCATTCTGTTTGAGAACACATCAAAATGGGGTAATTCGTTTTAACTGTGCTGATTCCTTGGATAGGACCAATGCTGCTAGTTTTTTTGGTTGTCTCCAAGTCTTTATGGAGCAATGTAGACGACTTGGAATCTTACTAGATAGTGATCTGGCATTTGGTTATCAGTCAATGAATAATTATGGTGGATATACTTCTCCTCTGCCTCCTGGCTGGGAAAAGCGTTCTGATGCTGTTACTGGAAAGACATATTATATTGACCATAATACTAGAACCACGACATGGATGCATCCATGCCCTGATAAGCCTTGGAAGAGATTTGACATGACGTTTGAGGATTTCAAGAGATCAACAATTCTGTCTCCAGTGTCTCAATTAGCTGATCTTTTCCTGCTTGCTGGGGATATTCACGCAACTATTTATACTGGGTCTAAAGCAATGCACAGCCAAATTCTTAGCATATTTAATGAAGATACAGGAAAGTTTAAACAGTTTTCTGCAGCACAGAATATGAAAATCACTTTGCAGAGAAGATATAAGAATGCTGTTGTGGATAGTTCTCGTCAAAAGCAATTAGAAATGTTTCTTGGAACGAGGCTTTTCAAGCATCTTCCATCAATTTCACTTCAACCTTTGCATGTATGTTACTTGCAATGAAAGCTCCAGTAGGTTCTGAAATATGCTTGCAGTTTGAAATAGCCTTCATCTGAAGGGAAAAATAAAAGTAATTTGGTGATGGAGAACCAAGCACCGCAAGTCCTATAGAAGCAACTTGGCTACAAAAAAAAGTATTAGTCTTAGGAAACAAGGGTGACAAACTATTATTCTTAGGAAACATGAAGTGCATAATAATATGAAGGGTGGAATAACGATGCCCAAAGTTGGTAGATTTTAAGATATTGATTTGAATTACTTCGTAATTGATTCTGTTATATAGTTATGTAAACACGGCAAAACAGGTACAGACGAGATCTATTGCTGTATTTAACAATTTGAGACGACAATTTAGAGATAAATTCTTGCAAAGTTGTGCTTGTAGGATAGTGATCTTTAAATTTACAGTGTAGCAACCATATGTGTAAAATCTCTTTATTTTTGTGAATGATGATGCAATGATGCATAGGAGAATGGCGTTTGGAATTATCCAAATTTCCTTGATCTTAATCCAAACTGAACCCCCCCCCCCCCCGGGTGGCCTTTAGGGATCTCTTATCTATTACCCTCATATTCATATTCCACTACCACTGACTGTGGAAATTACAATACTGTTTGCACAATAAAACTTTCTGTTGTTGACATTTTTAACTCCTATGCTTTCAATAAAGAATAGTCATCAAATAACGAAGATATCTAATCGTCACAGGTACCCTCTCGACCATCTGGTTTCCTTCTCAAGCCTGTTGCAAACTTATTTCCCAGTTCTGGAGGTGAAGCTAGTCTTTTGAGCTTCAAGAGCAAAGATCTGGTCTGGGTATGCTTAATTATTTCTTTTTCTTCTGAAGGGAACTTGATGCATAAATTGTGGCTGTAGCTGTTCTCTTATATTTCAATTCTTCCATAATTTTCATATAAGCTTTCTCAATTTCATTCACTTAGAATCTCTCCTTTTATGTTTCTCAGATTTGCACACAGCCTGCTGATGTTGTTGAAGTTTTTATCTATCTTGGTGAGCCTTGCCATGTTTGTCAGCTTCTTCTTACAATATCCCATGGTGCAGATGATTCAACATTTCCATCAACTCTTGATGTAAGGACAGGGCGTTATTTGGATGGGCTTAACCTAGTCCTCGAGGTCTCTGTTTTTCCTTCTTTACATCATCACTTTTGGAATTCATTGATGAGTTTGATATTACTGCAGGATGAGATGGCTAGCTTATTGAAGCAGATGAGGGCATTCACATTCATTTTAGTGATCTATATGATTGTAGACTCTACATAATTTATGTAAATTTTTATCTTCTTAAATATAAAATAGAAAGCTTATAATTCAAGATCTGTTTGAACATTAGTGGGAACCTAGAGTAGCTTCAAATTTTATAATGTCATCAAGAGAAAAACTTCAATTGACTGTGCAAAAGTTTGAGATTGAGATGTTTTAGCTATACTAAGTTTTGCAACTCGTGGCCTGTTTCTTATTGGACTACTAGCTTGTTATGTATATGGTTGCAGGTAATTTCTTGTGTCTGTTATTGAACTAACTTGAATTCTGATTTCTGGTCTCATCTGGCATCTATGGGCAGGGTGCTTCTATTCCACAGTGTGCAAATGGGACAAATATAGTAATACCCCTACCTGGGGCAATTAGTGCAGAAGATATGGCTATAACTGGGGCAGGTTCTCGCTTAAGTGCTCAAGAAATGTTGTCCTTGTCACTGTATGATTTTGAGGAAGTTGAAGGAGAGCTAGACTTCCTAACTCGTGTAGTGGCGCTTACCTTTTATCCTGCTGTTTCAGGAAGGAGTAACTTGACTCTTGGTGAGGTAGAGACATCAGAACTATTTCTCACACGATATAAATTTCTGGATGGATATAAAAAAATGCGACCTTGAATGTTGTTCATACAAAATTCATCCAAGTATATTGATTATCAAATCCATGGTGGAATGCTCTAATTGCATCTGCACATCTTTGGGCATATCTCAATGGGTTTAGGTGCAAATTTGAAGTTTACACTAAGAAGCATTGTCTGCCTGAAAGTTTATTGGGTGCAAATATGCTGTGGAAGATTAAAATCGTAGCAGTTTTGAGACAAATTTGTACCTTAAGCCTATCTCAATTGTCTTAGTAATATATTATTTCTGTAGTCTTATTATTCAGGGAGGATTATAAATTTTGTTTTTTACACTTTTATTCATCTTTTTACTGATTTACTCTGGCTATAGATTGAGATCCTTGGAGTTACACTTCCTTGGAGGGGCATGCTTACTGATGAAGGCCCTGGTAGAAGATTAGTTGAGCATGTCAAGAAGTTTCAAAAGGAGAGCAATCCCTTTTTATCAGGCTCAGATAGGAATCCATATAATTCTTCATCCCCGAAAAAGTTGTCACAACCTGTGCAAAGAAGCACTTCTGCAGATCCTTTCATTGACCTTCTGACTGGGGAGGACCCACTTGCACACCCACTAGCTCAACCTGGTACTGAAAATGTTGTCCATAATGAAAGCGATGCACTTGATTTCTTGGATCAAGCAGTTGTTGAATATCAGAGTGTGAAAAGTGATAACAACATCTCTGCAGTTAAAGATGCAAGTTCAGATCCCGGTGCTGAGCAATATCTAAGTTGCCTGAAATCTCTTACAGGACCGAGTTTGGTATGTTGTTATACCCTTAACATTGATTGGAACAATTGTTAATTTTATTGTTTTACCCATACAGAATAACAATCTAAATTTTGCTCTTCTTTTTCTGCTTGTTTTCTCTATTACTGGTTTCGGCTTTCTTAACTAGTTTGGCTGCTTGTTTCATGTGTGTGAGTCATCAATATATATATATTTCTGTCAGTTTTTTTCCCCATGCTACTTAAATTGGACCGTTACATCATTCTTTAGCTTTTTTTACTTCAGTTATAAGTACATCCTTTGGAACCCCAATTTCTCTGCGCACTAATTAAAGCGGACACTTTCTCTATAGGGAAGCTAAAAGAAAATATTTATAATTTGTTATATAGGTTATTAACTTCCTTTCACAATATATTTAATGGAAACCACACGCACAATTTTACAGCAGCATGCCTGTGTGGAATAAGTTGTTAGTTTAGTTTTTTTTTTTTCCCTCGTTTTTTTTTTTTTAATGTTGGGTGTCCCCTTTGAGTTTGGACTTTGGGGAACTTCAAAATTGATTTGATTTAGAAGGCTAGGAGGCCAAAACTTTATGATGATGTGCATTTATGTAGTCAATTGGTGTATTGGGTGTTGGAACCCATGCTCGTAATTTCGTTGGTGCCATGCTACTCCTTCCAATTTTATATGTAAGAGTTAATTAAGGAGTTTGTTTTTGCCCGAAGTCTCCCATATTTATTATTTTTTGTCCAAATTGCCCTCTTGATTGAACACTTTGGTGGATGAAAGTTTCTAGTATAAATGATTAAAAGGAAGGGTATCTCATAGAAATTAACGCACATTTTTTACAAATAACTAATTTAACTTGTTTTCTTAATCTACATGGATTAGCTATCTAATTTCTACATTTAAGACTAGGGGGAGTACGTCTTACCATAAATAAGGAATAGGTTAGTGTTGTCTTTTGAGATCTGTCCATCGCTATTAATGTGCTGAGGAATAATGAGCTTAATTGCTTGGATGAGGTTCATCTTCCTCTCTTTTGTTTCTCTTTCATCATTCCGTACTTTGTCTCTTTACTTATGATTCTCATTTTTAATAAAAATAGAGAACATCTATCTGACAAGTGTGACAAATATTCACCTTGAATCAATAATTTAGCAGACAGCATTTAAAGGAGATGCAATTCATTGCCTGTTTAATTTTTGTAGGGGAGAAAACTAAACTTCATAGAAGCCATGAAACTTGAAATTGAACGCATGCAGCTGAACATTTCTGCTGCTGAAAGGGATAGAGCCCTACTGTCTGTTGGGTTGGATCCTGCAACAATAAATCCAAATACACTACTTGATGAAGCATACATGGGAAGATTATCTAGAGCTGCAAACACTCTTGCGCTACTTGGAGAAGCTTCACTCGAAGATAAGCTAATTGCTTCTATTGGTCTGGAAAGTATTGATGATCATGCTATAGATTTTTGGAATATTACCAGAATTGGGGAATCCTGTTTAGGTGGCAAGTGTGAGGTGCGCACTGAATGTAAAAAAACCGATGTTATGTCATCTGGTGGACATTCAGAACCGACGTTCCTGTGTTCTCAATGTGAAAGAATGGTTTGCAGAGTTTGCTGCGCTGGGAGAGGGGCACTCCTGCTTGCTGGGCATAATTCACCAGAGATCATAAATTTTAATAACGCATCCAGCCAGGGCGGATCAAACTATGGCTGCCAAGTTGACGTCCCTCTCAATCGTGTATTAACACTTGATGGTACAATTTGTAAACGATGCTGCCAGGGTATTGTGCTTGATGCACTGATGTTGGACTATGTTAGGGTTTTGATTAGCTTGCGAAGAGGTGCTCGTGTGGAAAAGGCAGCTTACAATGCTTTGAAGCAAATTATTGGATCATCACCTTCAGATTGTCTTTTGGGAAAAAATCAGTCCATGGACAACCAGTTTTGTGGTGAGGCCATAAAGCAGTTGCTCGATGGACATGAATCCCTTGCTGAATTTCCATTTGCTAGCTTTTTACACCCGGTATCTCGTTTTTGTTCTTTCTTCCATTTTCTTTTCTTTCTTTTCTTCTGTTGTTTTTCTTAATTGGATGCTAATTCTGATTTTGTCCTCTGCACTTTTGCTTTTTCAGTGTCTTCATACACATTGTTTTACTACATGCTTCTGTTTTTAACTAAAATATGTGGAGATGCAAGACATATTACTAGTCTCAGCAGTGATTAGACCAATCAAACACTAATCATGTAAAAGATTTATTCAGTATTGCAAGGCAACTGAGAATTGTCACTTTGTCATAGGGGAAGGAAGATTAATTTGAGAACTTAAGGTTTAAGGTGCCACGCGGTACCTTAAACTCACTAGTTTTCAGAATTTTTTGGTCTTGGTTCCAATTGATAGATGATATTCTAATTAGTAGCTGATGAATACTTAAGGATTGAAGGAGTTTAACTTGTTACAGGTTGAGCAACCATGGGGAATAATTTCACATATTCCAGCAAGATGACTGAAAAAATATGTAGGGTAGATAGCGACAGGCCTGCTATTCAAATTGCTGAAGTTTATGAGGAAAATCAGAGGAAATAAAATATAAATGCTAAGGGATAAACTCCTAAAAAATTGGCTTAAACAACACCTAATAAAGATAAAAGATAACAAATTCTAATCAGCATTATACAGTAACATCCCCCATGCTTCCACTCAAGCTGATGAATTGATGTCCAGCATTTTGATTTCCAGCTTGCTACTGAACTCTTCAAATCTAAACCGTGTGATATGTACCTAAGGTGGAAGAACCAACCCACTTACGCTTCTCGTACTACCCAATGTGAGAGTTAATACCCCATGCTACCAAGCCCCCATCAGTTGGCCACCCACAAAAGCTAACATGCTAGCAGCTATAGTTCATAACACTTCACCTGGTCTCCTTCTTGTTAGAATCTTTTGTGGATAGCCTTTTACGGAACGCTAAATTCCTTGAGCATCCCATATTACTCATTGTGGGGACTTAGCATCCCATACTACCAAGTCTTTATTTATTAGCAACCTATGGAAAGTTGACGTCCTAGCAGTTGCACTTTATGACACTTGGCTCGTGCCTAATCAGAACCCTCTATAGGTGGCCCTCTGCTCAACCAGAAACAACAAATAATCTAGCACTAATAGCAATTGATAGGTAATTATATAGGTGGGAAAACCAACTTACTCAAATAGCCTATTTAGTGTCTTGTACTAGTCAGTGTGATATTTAATATCCCATACTAACAAGTCTCCATAACCTTGTGATAGCTTTAGTAAGCAAACCTACCACTTGTCTGCTTGCATGCTCATATGCCAGATCTACCAGGCTCTATCCAATCTATCTCCATGTGCTTTGCATGATCGTAATGTATGGGATTTTGGCAATCCCATCAGTAGCCATTTTGTTATAGCAATCTTCATTTCTGACCCAACATTAATTTTCAGATCTGTCAATAGCCTCTTAATCCACATTCTTTCACATATGCCTAGTGTTAAAGCTCTATATTCAGCTTCTACACTACTATAAACCATTGCAAATTGTTTCCTGCTCCTCTGTGTGACTAAAGTACCCCACACAAAGGTACAGTATCTTGGAATGGGCCTTTAGTCTATTACAAAGCAAGCCTAATCTGCATTAGCATATACTTCAATATCTCTGGATCCACTTTTTTCAAAAGAACAAGCTCTTTTTAGGTGCCATCAAAAGATCTTGAGAATTGAAAACTGCTTCCATATATTCTTCCTATGGCTTACTCATGAAATGAGCTACTACATTGACACAGTTTATATCTACTCGTGTGTGAGATAGGTATATTAGTTCTCCCACAAGTTTTTTCCATCTCCGTAATGGCTTGAATAGCGTGAGCTCTTAGTTTCATTAGTGGGGCAAAGAGGAACCCCTTCTCTCCTTTTTGCAGTCTTTACATTATATGATTTCTTTAGTTTCTTTATATTATTTACTAACTCTACAATAGCAGGTTGAAACAGCAATAGATTCTGCACCTTCATTGTCATTGCTTGCGCCATTTGATTTTGGTTCTCAATATTGGAAAGCACCACCTAGTGCCTCGTCTGTTGAATTTGCGATTGTTCTTGGTGACCTTTCTGATGTTAATGGGGTTATATTAATTGTCAGTCCATGTGGCTACTCCTTGGTTGATCCTCCAATTGTAAGTCCATTATCCATGTGTTCTAGTATTTTTTTTAATTGTTTATTGAATTAATAAGTAAAATCTGGAAGCATTATGTTGGTGCAGGTGCAAATCTGGGCAAGTAATAAAATACACAAGGAGGAAAGATCGTTTATGGGGAAATGGGATGTCCACCTCTCTGATCAAGAATTCCGCAGCATTTAGTGGGATAGAAAAGTCAGGAAGAGAACATAAAGTGCCTAGACATATAACTTTTTGCTTTCAAAAAGTCAGTTCGTTGTCGAATAATTTGGATAACATTCAGCCTTCAGCAACCCGGCTCAAGTTCATGTAATCTTGAAAATGAAATTAATCTGTTGGCTCTAGAGGAGAACCCCTTTGCCAAAGTAACTCGACGAGCCTCTTTTGGAGGATTTGATGGAAGTGAACCTTGCCTTCATGCCAAGACGATTTTAGTAGTTGGAAGCCCTGTTAGGAAGGAATTTGATATTCAGTCACAGCAAAGCACTGATCAGTTGAACCTGAGGACATGGTTAGAGAGATCTCCACAATTAAATAGATTCAAGGTATGCCATATTAATTTGTCCTTAACCCGTTGTGGAAACCAGTTTGTTTTTAGAGTTTGTTCCAATATTTCATTCATCTCAAATATTTCAGTGATGAAACTTTTGTTTAGGTTCCAGTTGAGGCTGAGAGGTTATTGCACAATGATCTAGTTTAGAGCTGTATCTGTCCCCTGTTTCGCCCTTGCTTGCTGGATTTCGCCTTGATGCTTATAATGTAATAAAGCCACGGGTTACTCATTCACCCACTTCAAATTTTCATGGCCAAAATTTCTGGCCCTTGTGGATGATAGATACATCTCCCCAGCTGTGTTGCATATACAAGTATCTGTTCTCCAGGTACTTAGTAGATTAACTTATACTGCTTTATGTGTTCCGCTGGTCTCTGTATATCCACAGAAGTCCTATCAAGTGCTGTGTTTTTCAAAACTTCTGATTTTGTTCATTTTATTTCTTCCCCTGATCATAATTCTTAGAACCTTCTTCACGTGGTATATAATGATTTATTTTGTATTAAAAAATGATTTATTTGTGACTACTGCTCTTGCTCTTCTGTATCTACTCTGGAGCATGCTGTACTTGGGTATGTTGACTGAAGCTATGTGAAAGATTGCATGTACTTGCCATGTTGTTGTGGAGAATGTCAAAAAAAGAAAAAAACTGTTTCTTATTCAGAATGACAGGTCACATCGGAATATATACACCCAGTGAGGGACAAGAGAATAAAGATCATAAAACCTAATAATGTCTAATAATAACTAATAAATGCTAAAATAACAGCTATAAAATGAATGATGAATTTCCACACTTGCCTTCGAGTTGGATCATAGATATTGATCATGTCCAGCTTGTTTATGCATTCATCAAAATAGGTCAGGCATGCTACTTCGCTTTCAATCTCTTCCTTGACGAAGTGCCTATCTATTTCAACATGTTTTGTTTTATCATGCTGAGCTGGATTCTGTTACACCACCAAGATTTCCTATTTTTAGGTCCAAGACATTTTTATTCGCCTAAAATTGCTATAAAAACCTGCCTAACCCTCTAAGCCATCTCATCCCCCATGCTGTCAGCACTTCTGAGTCGTGACCCTCTCAATCACCTTCCTCTAGTAGTTCTCTCTTGAAAGTTTTTTTTACTCTTAACAAGCAGATCAAGGCCCAAGACCCTACGCTATAGAGTCCAATTCTTCAAGGAATGCCTTATCAAACTTTATAGAGTCTTCTATAGGAAATTCTTACGAGGAGAATGATACTTACGTCCCAAAAGATCAATTTAATGACAGTTAGGTCTCAAAATAGTTGTTGATAGGTAAACTACAAATATTTATTCAGTTGGAAATATGGACATGTTAGTTGCAAATTACTGAGAGTAATCTTGGAGACTTAAATGCTTGATTTGCAATTAACACTCCCATATTTGCATTGTCTGAATCTATATTTGCAACTTATTTTCAACAAAATCTTTTGAAACCTAAATTTAATTCATGGAACCTAAGTTTCATTCTCTTGCTGAAAAGAAGTCAATTTACGACCTTGAGGATCTACTATTGTGTGTGAGTAAATGCTCCTCCTGCTTTTTAAAACAAGGGTCAACAATCTTAAAATTATGTGAGTTCTTGCATATGGCCCTGCATCTTTGGCAATATGACCATGAAGTTCCCGGCCAATGAAAATTTTTATTCCATGTGGAATTCCTTGAACCAGTTCTTCCAAATCTTGTCCTTGCTTCTGTCCCTGCTTGAGGCGCATAGGTACTTGTGATATTAATAGTATCACTCACAACAATCATTCTTAAGAATGAGATCTTATCCTCAATTCTTTTTGTTTTCACCATATTCTTCTTCCAATTCTTCTCAACAATAATACCAACTTCATTCTTTGTTTTGATTTCCCCTATGTACCAAAGTTTAACTTGCATAGTCAAGCTCCATAGCCTTTAATCCAACCCACTTAATTTCTTGAAGGCACATTATGTTAATTTTTCCTCACATAAATCCTTCCACTGCCTCCATTGATATACTCATTGAAGGCCCAATTTTTCAGCTACCAAGCCTGCTCCTAGGCTAATTTCCTTACCGACTTTCGTCCAAATAAATGTAGGAACCCTTACTCATTACGCATTACACTTGGGTGCTAATGGAGCAGCCCTAGGTCATTCAACATATATGTGTGTTACTTCTAGGTAACAACTTAGCATTAGCTCAATAGCGTCTTTGATCCATGCCAAATGGGATTCAATAGAGTTTTACTTGGCTATCAAGAGGCATCTTTGTCTGTCAAGTGACGAATGATGTTTTCTCTGTCTTCCCCTGGGCCCCAACAGTTATATTTATTAATCATAAAGGATGCAAAATTGCTTATTTTCTCGGGATTCTTAGTTTTTATGACCTTTTCTAAGATATGCTACTAGATGCGTTTTGAGCATGACCTACAGTTAGTATTATGTATCTGTAATGTTTTCTCACTTCGTGGTGTGCATTGGACCATTTGGCTGTTTTTCCTGTTAGCAAGGGTTTCAGGGTTATGTTGTGAAGAAGTGGGTATGACGTTTATACATCAGTGCAAGTTTTTTTTTTTTTTTAAAGTATTTAAAAAAAACTTGAGAGCCTGAGAGGTTGCACTAATTGAATTATTCCCTTTATTTGATACTATGTACCACTATCTATTTCAGTAGCAAATGTATGGGTTTTGCCACTTTTTGAAGATCTGATGGTGAGATTGATTGCAGGATTACCATGGTATGGTAACCATCGCTGAGTACCGGTTACCAGAGGCCAGGGCTGGAACACCAATGTACTTCGATTTCCCTAGTCACATACAAACTCGCAGAATTTTATTCAAACTTGTTGGAGATGTTGCCGCTTTTACAGATGACCCCTCCGAACAAGATGATTTTGGTACTAGTTCTCCATTGGCAGCAGGACTATCTCTGGCCAATAGAATTAAATTATATTACTATGGGATCCATATGAGCTCGGGAAATGGGCTAGCCTCTCGGCAGTTTGATTCCTATGCAGCGTAGTTTTTGCTCGAAATTAATTGCTCGTGCAGCCATATTCACAATTTGTTGTATTAATGAATGTAGTTATATTTACTTATGAAATGTCGTGTTGGAAAAATTAATTGCTTTATGCGTTGTCAATGTTATCTCTCGCATTTTTGGTGGTTAGGTGAGGTGAGAATTTGGACAGAGGTCCTAAGTACAGATACCTTAGCCCCGGTCTGTTTTATGTCAGTGGGACCAATAGCCGTTCGCAAGGGCCAACTTGATCCTCTTCCCCAGATGAGGAAACCTAGGAGAGCCACTGTACGATCCATACTAGATCTAACCAACTGTTCATCCTACCTCCTCTACATTCTTGACAGCCCATCTTTGTCTCAGTAGAGTCTTTCAGTAGCATGTTTCCTCAGACTCTTTTTGCCTTCACTGATCATGAGATGTTTATAATTTTGAGAGCATCTGCTAGGTTGTGATCTTTACATTTATAATTGGAGTGTCTAGAAATAGGCCAGGCAACCTATCAAGGCCTATGTTTTGGCCTATTTAAATACAAGAGCAGGTTCAAGCTTGTTTATGTTATCAAGTCTGGTCCAGGCTCGCTGACAGGCGTAAGCCTGTGAGGCAGCCTGGGCATATTTTGTTTTTTTTTTTTTGTGTTACAATTATAGATTTGACATAACCTATCTAAAGTATTGAAGTTTAACCTGGGCGCCGCTGCTCCTCCTCTTGGCTTCTTCCATTCTTAGTTTCACACGTTGCTCACACACTTCGCAAAATCGCATCGCACACGGCACATACACTTCGCAGAATCGTGCACGCACAGTCTTCGGGTTGGCTTCTTCCATTTTTTGATTTGTCCGTTTATCACTCATACTCTGCCTATTGCTTCTTCCATTTCATTCTTTGCTGTCTGTTTTTCGTGACTGTGCTCTACCTCTTTGATTCTTCTGTTCTTTGCTCAGTTGCTGACGCCACGACGCTCTATCTCCAACCTCTATTATCAGGTATGTGGCTCATGTTCATACACACACACACACATATAGTCGTGCTCTGCCTATCCCAAGGAGTATAACATTGTTCTGAGGGTCTTGGGATTTATAAATAATTCATACGTTACATACGAATGAACAAGATAGATGATGCCATGATACTTCATCAAATATATTTGTTTTAGTTTTTTCCCCCTTTAAGTCTTATTGATTGCTTATTGATTTTTAGGTGTATACTGAGGGTGTGCTATTAATTCATTTAGTTTTGGCATGACGTTGGATCATAGCATTCACATCAATTGAGTTGATTTTTTCTCCATTTCTGCCTATTTGGACCTGCATGAGTGCACGAGTCACGTCGTCAAACTGATCTATTTGAGTCTAATGTGATACGGCTAGAACTGTGTGCCTGCATTTTTAGGAAATGCATTATATTGTATTGTAGTAGGAATTTGTAGAAAGTGAAGTATGGGTCTTATTTATTTGCTTAATATATATATGTGTGGTTTGTAACTGAATAACCAAGTTGAATGTGAAGGATTCTTAGTCATTTCAGAATAGTGTGTGGTTTATTTGCTAAATACCATTTCCTTCTACATGTTTTCATAATATGCATATTCTAAATCATTCAAGATGTGTTGTTCCTTTATTTTGGGTATTCATTTCTCAAGCAATCTTGTGTCAGATGAAAAATAACAAGGTTACTTTTGATGAGTTTGTTGGTCTTGATCTCTCTAACATATATTTGTGATAAGTCATTTGGATTATTTATTGAGTTCTACACTTCTAATTAATGTCAACTCTATTTGAGAGTGAAACGATATCATCTAATTCAGTTTCTTAATACAACTAAGGTCAATCAACAAGCACTAATAGGTTTTGCGGGTTTGATAATTTGTTATAATTGTAACAAGAACAAATTGATTTGATTCTTTCATGTTTTATGTTTGTATTTTAGATAATTTTGAAATTTGTTTAAATATAGGCCTCTTAACAGGCTTTAGGTCAGGTTAAGCTTAGGTCGAATAAAAAGCTTTTCGTAGGTCATAGGCCAGGTTTAGGTCAGTAGGCCTGGCCAGTGAAGTGTGTTTAGTCTTACCTGTTTCTACTCCTATATGTCATTAAAACAGGGTTTTGCTTAATACTCTTTGACTGACCAGAAGGACTTGCCGGCCTCTATTTGGTTTATATTTAACACTAAATTATGCGTGGATGTTTTTCCTCCCTTTTGATTGTTTAAACTTGAAAGCAGATCATAGACTTATGGTAAAGTCCAATTATCTGCCCATTTGTCCTGGACATAAGATCATTCACCCTTATATAGCAATGTAATTCAAGCTCATGGGAAATAATTAGAAGTAGAGGCAACCAGTGAGCCAACCACATTCATTAGTTATTACAAATATGAATATATTTTAAATCATTCATTCATAAATCTGAATCAATAATCAATCAAAGAACCCAAGGGACCCATTTCTAATACAATTGGGGGAAAAAAACTCTTAAGGACCCATTTCTTCGAGTTTTCTGCAAAATGAGAAACTTGATCAGAAATTATATTATGTTCCTGAATTACATTTAAACATACATTGGGAGAACAAGAACTTTGAGGGAAATACATGGTAGTTCATAAGATTGTTATATGGTAATTTTTCAAATGTGAGAAATTAATGCAAACTGATCCCAACACGGTAGTGAGATGAGAAAATTCATCTAGTAACAATTTTGAGAGGCTATTCATTGCTTATAAATGTTCTATTGAAGGTCTTTTACAATGTTACTGAGCCTGACTCTACATGGATAGATGTCATCTGAGTAGTTTTATAGGAAAAATGTTGTTTTCATTAAAAAAAAAAACAAAAAAAAAAACATAATTATTGGTAGCTTTTCGTAAGACAAAAACAATGAATTGTTTTTCCTAACATATGCTTTTGTTACTAGCGGGACTTATGATGGCCTAACTTGGTTTCTACATAATGTCAAAAAGATTATAAAATCAATAGGGCCTACGATAGTTCATATCAAAACAAGGCAATTATTAGTGTTGCCAAGCTGCATTTGGTGGCAAGAGACTTCTTGCTATTGGCATGCAAAGAAAACTATACTCCTTGTCTTTTTTTTAAGAGCCTCGTAATTAAATTACGTAGTTTAAAAAAACTATTTAAAATTAGTTAAAAGTAATAAAATATATAAGGAATAAAATTTTTTTCTAAGTATACTCTTATTTACAAGGGGCAAGTAAGGGAGAGAAAATATGAAAGAGAATGTAGTATCACAACTTGTCAACTTTTTAATTAATACAATATGCAAAATTAATTAGAGGCAAAAATGGTACAAACGCATTAAATTTCAGATGGGATCTTATAAAGAGAATCAAGACGATTCAAATTTTATGCTCTTATAAAAAGAATCGAAAGAAGTAATACAAAGTTTCTAAAAATCAATAGAGGTAGGGAATAGATTTCAAATAATAGCACTAATGATGAACTCAAACAGTCAAAATGCTTTATTAACAATGTGTATTAGAATGAAAACATTTAACATGTGTAATTTCTATAAAGATTGTTTTAGAAAATAAATAAATAAAATATAATAGATAAAGTAAATTAAAATCTTATATTTATGGTTAAATTAAATCTCTAATTAGTTCTTATATTTAGTAGTGGAGGTAGTAACATTACAACTTTCATTGGACGTGGCATGACATCCAATGAATCCTTAATTAGTATTCTTCGGTCCTAAATATAACATTTATACTAGTGTTGTATAAGGGTCTTATATTTAGGATCGGAGGAGGAATAGTATACATAGGAGGATTAATCACACGCAATAAACTAGAAAGAGGGGTAAATTCATATCTCCATGCGGAGATTGAAAACCTGTGGGAACTATCATGAACGGCTGATATTGCCCTTCTGTCCTCGCAAGGGTCTCGGGCCACATCGCTCGTACTGATATTCTGTCTTCCAGAGAATCCTATGAAAGCACTCCAATGTGACCATCTCATTTGACCGAATAGCCTCATGGAGGGAAGACCTACACAAGGTGGTGGCGTGATGATGAGAGACTTGTAAATCAACGTGAGCAAATTTTGCATATCCTCCCTCAACAGATTCCGATTCCACATTAGGGTCCAATCTTTTGTATGAGAGGAAATTCATGAGGGGTCAAGCTAGTAAACCATAACTTAATTTCTCCTACTGATCATTTTGGAATATGAAATTCTCTCTTTGCTTCCCAAAAAAGCAAGACGAGATTAATAAAGCTACAACGTGATCCGTATTTCCCTCCCATGAAACATCGTATTCCTTGCTCACCAAACAATCATGATGACGCCCTGCTGCATTCCATCATATTATTTCTCAAATCAACCTGGCTAGTCACCTCTTAACCCCAATAAC